GGAGGGCCGTCAACAAAGTGGTGTACGATGACCACGAGAGCGAGGAGGAGGAAGAGGAGGACATGGTCTCCGAGGAGGAGGAGGAGGAGGACGGCGACGCCGAGGAGACCCAGGATTCCGAGGACGAAGAGGAAGATGAGATGGAGGAGGACGAGGATGACTCCGATTATCCGGAGGAGATGGAAGACGACGACGACGACGCCAGTTATTGCACGGAAAGCAGCTTCAGGAGCCATAGCACCTATAGCAGCACTCCAGGTACCCACCCAGCCCAGTTTGCTGCAGACGCCTTCCCCACCTCCTTACCCTCCCCCCTTGCTCACTCCCTCTTGTGTGCTGTGCATCCTGCTCCGGCCTCCCCCCACCCCACACCCCCCCCCCCAAACCGAGGGGAAATGCGACGGCACAGCAAGTGGCAAAAAACTAGATTTACAAGAGGAAAGAGGCGCATTGTTCAAAATGGAGATTGCATTGTTGCACTTTGCAGGCCACACTCGCTCGCTCCCTCCCCTCAGTCCCCCTTTTTTTTCTCTTCAAAATTTGTGCCAGTGCAGTGTCTCCACCGGGCAGGATTGAAACTTTGGCACACACATATCCATTGCATTCATTTTTCTCCCCTTGTTTTGGTTTGGTTTTTTGGAATGAAAGAAACCTCTTGTTTTTGCAAACCTCTGCATTTCTAATGTGGTTCTTTTAGATTTTTATGATCTATCTGCTCCTTAAAAGGGGATTAAGGATTTAGATAGATTGTAGCAGACACTTAAGTACACACAAACAAAACTTGCTTCCCTTCACTCCCCTAGCTGTGTGGTTTAAAAATTGTGTTAAGGAAATACATCGGTTGGGTTAGCAGAGGAAGCCTTATCTGGTCCTGTGTGTTTGTTTTTATTTCTTGGGTGTTAATGGGCTCGTGCAACAGTTGCTGGTAAATGGTTGATTCAAAAGCAAAGCAGAAAACCAAACCCAAACCAAATTTGGTAATTCATCCGATTCAAAATCATTTTGGTAAAATCCAAAATAAAAGTAAAAAACCACAGGACCACGCCGTCTTACTAATTTGGCGGCGACTGCCTTGCTTGGGAGAGGCAGTTTCGTGTCACCTGTTGCAGAAGATGTGCAGTTGATCATCCAGACATAATTGCCGAAGGTGACCACTTGGGCCAACTTGTAAGTCACACAGCAGATTACACAGGAGAGGAGGTTATTACAAAATGACTTTTTCTTTTCACTCTATTTCTGAGGCTAAAAGTCCGCCCTGGATCAGTAATGAACTTCTCCATGGTGGCCCCTCTCCTGCTTTCTCACAGAAAGTTTCTCTAGGTTGGTGCTAAAATACATTTTGTTAAAAAACAAAAACAAAGAAACCAAAAATACAACACAATTGCAGCTTTGTATTAAATACGTAGTTGCAGCTTACTAAGTTCTGGAAACAAACAAACAAATGTAGCAAAAATCTAGCAGACCTTTTCTTAATATTTTTGTTCATCTGGGTTAACTAAATTCCAATCCGGTTTTAAGAGCGTTTACAAAGCAGTTTATCAGGAAATAAGAGAATCTTGGAAAAGTAAGGTGTGTCACTTGTTTTTTAAAAGAGACTAGGGTAGTAGAAGTAGTTAAATATTTCCTTTTAAAATGGTTAAGTACTTATTGGAGGAGTGTTAAGCCGGATATAAACCCATTTTCGTTATCTTAACATCAAATGCCTGACAATAAGATTATGTCTGTCTTTGTTGGGGGTGGAGACAGGCAGGAGAGTGAAGGTAATGAATTAAGTGTTAAGTATTTGTCTTTTGTCTGTAAAAGGGACTGTGCAAAAGTTTTTACTTCTTGCTAGCTTAATTTTAGTACATCGTTTATAGTAATAGTTCTTACTTTAAGAAATCACATGTTGGTCCACTTTCTACCAAAAGTCTAGAGTTGAATGAACTAAACTGAATTACACTATTGGAGGAAGTTTTTTCAGGTTAGACAGGAGCAAGGCATTTTAGCTAACTTTAACTCCTGTTTGAAGGCCTCACAAATAATATTTAGGATTGATGGCTGTGGATGTGCTGAATTAAATGACAATTAGTGGTCAAATTTTCCTTTAAAAAAAAAAAAAAAAAACTTGTGTATTTATGATGCATCCATGACATTTTGGTTTTGTTTTTTTGTTCCCTAATGACGTTTGTAGTCTACCTTGTGTATACTTGTCCCATCCCTTTATAAAATTATTAACTCCTTGATGATAGATATTGATCTCGTCTCCCCTGCGCCTCCTACTCATGCACATGCCGGGTGCTCATCAAAGATTGGTTGGATAAGTGGTAGCTAGTAGGTGAGAACTTGGCAATAGATGAAGTTTTGATAATTCTACAGTGGGTGCCATAACTCCTAAATATTTTTGTTTTAGTAAACTAAAACTTGGTGTAATTAGATTTTGACAGTTTGACTATCAAATGTTTTAAATAGCAGAGTTACTGTGTTTTGAACTGCTGTCTTGTGTTGCTTCCCAGGCATTTTCCTTTCTTCATTGGATGTGGTGTTAGCTTCTTGGTTGTTTTGCCTTTTGAGACTTATTTCTGAGTATTATGGTAAATGAAGGATAGAGTTTGTGTTCTAAACTTTCAGAACATGGCCACTTGCCTAGAATGAGTAACAGCACATGACAGGTGAGTTGTTTAGGCTCAGTACTAGTTTCATTAGTTTTATTGTCTGTACTTCCTGGGAGGAAGGCTGTCGGGTAAATGTGTATATTATGTACTTGTGTTTTGGAAGGAAGAAAGTTCTAGGACTGGTTTAAGATATTCCAAGAAAATATAAAGAAATATGGTTGATGGAGTTGAATCCTGTTATACTTTCAAACCTAAAAGAAGAATAAATATATTGATAATTTAGAGCAATTTGATCAATTTTTATAGACAAGAGTGTTGGCTTGCCCATTGCCATTGAGTGGATTCCAATTTATGGCGACCCCACATGTTTTGGAGTAGAACTGCACTCCATAGGATTGTCAATGGCTGTAATGTTATGGAAGTAGATTACCAGGCCTTTCTTCAGTGGCACCACTGAGTGGATTCAGACCACCAACCTTTCAGTTAGTGGCTGAGAGCAAATTGTTCGTGCTACCCAGGGGCCTTTTAGAGTGTTGGCTTAAGTACCGACATATTAAATTCCTGCTGTAGGAAATAACTAATTTGTCTATTCAGTACTTTGTAGGTAATATAACTTGGTGATAGAAAGATAATAGTTGGCAATACTAGTTTAATCTAAAGTCACAGATTTTTAAAAGATTATTCTTTGGAGATTAAATAATATTTTCCTTTTATGGAGAGGAATTTTAAATGGGTATCTAAAGTACTCACATGACATATTGCTGTAGGGACGATTTACTAATACAAAATTGAAAATAATCTAATTTTGCTTAAGCTAGAGGCATTTGGCAGAGTAAACCTTTTCTTTATTTTTTTAAATTTAGTTATTTCGGCCTGTAGGTTTTATGACATACTTTGGCAATACATTGAGAAGGATTATATAGAAAATGTTTTTTTTTTAAATTTTTTTAAATTTTTTTTACTTTTTTTTTTATTGTACTTCAGGTGAAGGCTTACAGAACAAATACTTTCTCATGAAACAGAAGTACACATGTTGTTTTATGACATTGGTTAACAACATATCAACCCTCTGACTTCTCCACCTCTTTTTTTTTTGGTGAATATAGAAAATGTTTTGACTAGGCATTTGATAAAGTTCTGACAGCATTTTGAAATTTAGCATTTGATGATTAAAAACAATTAAATCACACTGAAATGGAGTGGTTTTTGCATTGAACTTGTGTGGGACTTCGGAGAATACTTACCTGAAATTTTTGAATTTGGGACCCTCTAACTTCAGAAAACAAAAACCTTGGTGTTATCCTGGGAGAGTTAGCGAGTTATGTCATCTAGGAATTATGATCCGTGGTAGAGATGCCATGAATGAACTATATGTAGATTTGCCTAAAACAGAATTTGTTACTGGTTTGAAAGTATTTATTCCACCAGTGTCAAGCAAATACCTGTCCAGTATATGTGTAATTCCTGATTGCTTCAAGTGAGGTACAAAGTGCAGTGGAGATTGGAGGGGGAGCGCATACCGTGTTTAGGGGGTTGGTGTGGGCGTATGCTTCTGGGATGGGGCTGTGGACAGTGAGGACGGAGGGAGCAGTGTGAGCTAACACACTGGATAGTGAAGTGTGGCCAGTCACAAGTAACCGGGTTATCAAGAGCCCAAGTATGTGAATAGGAAAGAAACTGTAAAGCTCTCTTGTATGCTATGTTGGGCAGTACCTAGAACACCAGGCTGTAGCGATTATACTTCTTCCCGCGCATCATCTGTAGAATGAGGAAGGAGCTAGATCAGTGATACTAAATCATTTTTCATTCCCAGAACACCCAAAAGATTTACTGTATTTCCATCAGCACGAGCATCAAACCAAACCAAACCCCAGAGATATTGTTAAGCCACAGATGCACCCCTTTCCCCAAATTGAGACAATTACTGGAGGAGGTGGTTTGTGAAGTACCCTCTCTAAAATCTGTTTCCAGTCTATTTCATTTGTGGGTATTGGAAATCTGTCAGAAGACCTGGCAACAGTGGGCTGTGATTTCAGTGGCACCTTAGGAAGTTTAGCATAGCTTCTGTTATGCAGGATGGATTGGAAGGGGACAAGATAGCTGGTGGGGATATGGGTGGGTTCTGTAGCCCTGACCTGTGGCTCTGAAGGCCTAATTAGGGTAATAGCAGTGGGAACAGAAGATCTATTAGGGAAGAACTTCAGAATTCCCCCTTAAAAGTGTAGACTGAGAGAGGGATGCATCAAGTGTGCCTCTGAGAATGGTAGTGCTTTCAGTATCAGCAGGGAGGTCAAGACTATAAGGGAAATTAATGAGGTCATTTTTCAGGTATCAATACCCGAGAGGGTTAAACATGAGAATTAAAAGAAAGAAAATGAGGGCCAACTGTTATTAAAAAGTTGGGCAACATGATTTGTGAGTAGTAAGGAGGGAGCCTTCAATATGCAGTAATAGTTTTTTGGGCAGTTGATGTTCATTTATTCCTGTGCTCACCCATAGGAATGTTTGGAAATGGAGCTGCGTGTGGAAATGTATGTGTGCCCGCAGGCTCTCCTTTCTTCGTTGCTCAAGACCCTGGTCCTCTCTGTGACTGCAGGTCATTGAGGGGAGGGTAATCTGGGTGACACAGATAGGAACAAATCCTAGCAGATGCCTCCGTCCTTT